AAAAAAAAAAAGCCATCAAAATTAGCAAAACATTCGGAAAGCTGAAAAAATGATCCGATGCTGGATCCGCACTGCTGGTGGGGAAGAGATATCCGAAGGCCGGATGTGAAGTAGCTAAACTGTATGCTTTCATTCGGTAGCCAATACAACGCTGTTTAGGCGCGCTGCTTGAGTAGTGGCCACGATCGAACGTTTTTCTTCACGCTAGCACTACACGCTCACAAGCTGTTAGATTTTAAATTTCCCATGCAAAATACCTCACACAACGTGCAGCTATTATACCGTTACTAAACAGATACTCAGTGCGTCTTCCGGTCAGCTGCTCACTTTGTCACAGAGCCAAAGTCTATCCTTATGCTTGCATTACTAATTAGATTTTATACTATACATAAAAATTTGTACCTTTGAAGCAGTTAAAATTTCTGTACTTTGGACTGTAAGATGAGTTTGCGTGATTCCCTCATTTCAGAATTTTAAAAGGAAGCAAAATTCTTACTAAAATGTTGTACAAATACACAACGATGGTAACGAAATCATAATTGGGCCATAATTGAGATATCGTCATTTTCCCTGAAAAAGCAAAATCAACTCTTCGCCACTCTCATTTTTAAATTGACATACAGAAACCCTGACGCCAAAATCCGCAAGTTTGGCTCCACGGTTGAAGTGGAACTCATAAAAATTTTATTTTATTAAAGTGAAAGAAATGCGAATTGGGCATGACGGGGTATAAACTTGTAAATGTGAAATTTAGTCATTTGCGGATGCTGCATACAAAAGCCGTATCTATATAATGAAGAGGGTTATAGCGAGAATGATGCTAGGTAGGATATTTCTTCTTGACCAGTACGAAAAATCAGATTCGCCATCACATGGGTGGTGTGCAGGATATCACAGAGTGTTGAGACCGGAGATCTCAAGATGTTGCTTTGGGCCAGCAGTAAATTTTTTGGGTTTCTTTTAGGGTCCATTTACAACAGGTCAGTATTGTCGGAAGACCGTTCTCATGTTGGAGCTACATACGGTGTTCAATGATGAGCGCACAGTTCTGAGTAGCCCATGATTAATTACGTTACTTTTCCTTTATTTCTTTACAGGCCAAGCGCATGAAATTACAACGCTTGCAGTGTCATAAAAACGACGACATTCATGTTTAGGAGGTGGTTCACATCCATTCTTTTCCGGATCATCAACTAATAATGTGCTAGCCACTTCAAGCTCAATCTGCCGCTTCCGCCCATTTGTTTTCTTTCAACTATCAATTTCTTCATTAGGCGTCGCTAGCAAAGCCGTCTGGCGCTAGTTGCAGCAAACGCTGCCATTCATCTTTCTTCCTCCGCACTATTCAGTTGGACCTTCCTTTTCTCGGCCGATGGCATGAGGGTAAACCACAGAGAATCTAGCTGTGTTTAACAAGTCAAGTGGAATAAGAAAAGCAATTGCTCCGTCGAAAACAAGGCTCAAGAAGTACTTGGGCGAGCTCAAAGGTTTCTCGATTGGATAACCAACTAATACAGAAAACGATGCGCAGTTTCATGAAGACAGACTTCAATACATCAGTGATAAAAGCAAACAAATTTATAACGCTGTTCAGTATCTCGAAAACAAAAATGAAGAGTGGCTTAGCCTTATCAGCAATCCTTAGAATCAAAACGCAGAAAGTGATGATGAAACTTGTGAGGAAATGATGCAGGATAAGGAAGATATTCTGATTTGGATCGATCGAGCCAAAGAAACTCCTGTTAGCCTTGAAGCATATGTTGAGAATATTCGCAAACTCCAAATTCAGACCCATCATGCGAATTTGGATTTGAATGTCGAACCAGTTCGTCAACATTTACATTCAGAGGAGAAAAGGCGAACAGTATCCTAAAGGACAAGTTCGGAATCTTTATCTCTGCTTTAAGAGCGTGAAGAAAAGTCACATATCCAAGGCGTGTGCTAAGAGTCTAATCTGTTTTCACTGTAAAGGGCATCATGACAGAGCGTTATGTGCGGAGAAGTTTGGAGTCGGAAGAGCTCCGCGACGAATCTGTCTGGTAACTCCAAACAGAAAAGTGGAAATACGGAAAAGTCGATTGCGAACACAGTCACACAGTCAACTCAGGGTAGGAATTGAAGAACGGATTCCAGTCAATTCAACGTGTTATTGCTGTGTAAATCAGTTTGGGTGTCGAACCCGGAAATCCGGTGAAGAAGGTCAAAAGTACTGTCTTCTTCGATTCGGGTTGTCAGCAATCATTTATCACAAATAAACTGACAAATCAGCTTGGATTAACCAGCATCAGCATAGGTGCATATCAATTGCAGCATTCGCTCAAAGGCAGTCGAAGAATTACGAGTCCCAAAGGTTTAAAGTTGGGATTATACTTAGAAAAGGAAACGTTTGCATTATTCCAGTCAATACGATGGATTTTTTGACACAACAGTTTCTCACGGCTTCAGTCAACAGAAGCGAGATTCGTCAAATACGAGCAAAGGATCCAGAAATTGTCAGCCTGCGGACATACATGAAACAACCGTAAATTGGATTGATCATTACTTCCCATTCGTCAATGGCTGAAAATGACGATTACATTCCGGATTTCAGTTAGTAGACTCATCCATGGGTTGGATGATTACCGGAAGAGATGCACCTCGATGTTGCGATAAATCAGAAAATATTACGACAGAAGTAATCATGGCTAGTTTAGTTGCTGAAAATGTCTCACAGTTTTGGCAGTTGAAAACCATTGGCATTAAGGACCCTATCCAAAAGAAAGTGGAAGATGAGGTTATGGAGCAGTTCGAGAAAACAGTAAGTAGAGAAGTCAGGTTGTTATAGTGTTAGTTGGCCGTGGAAAACAGAGACGCCTAAATTGGTTACCAATTTCGCATTATGCCTAGGCGGCTCAAATCCATAATTAGAAAGCTCCAGGAAAATCCAGAGCTTCTCGAGCTCAACGATAGAACGTTTCGGACACAACTAGAAACTGAGATAATTGAGAAAGTGGTTTAAGACCAAAATCAAGGCTTTACGACGTATTTACCTCAGCAGCCAGTGATCACGTTTACGAAGGTAACGACTAAATTACGAGCAGTCTTCGATGCTTCTGCGAAAACATCGCACGAAGGATCGCTGAACGAGGAGTTCTATAAAGGGCCTTATATACTGCCGAGTTTGTCGGAATTCTGTTGCATTTTCGAAGACAAAAATTTGTAGTTTTCGCTGATGTTGGAAAAGCTTTTTTCCAACTCGGGTTGCACGAGCAAGATAGGGACTGCACCTGTTAGCAGAACACAATCTTCAGGTTTTCCGGTTCACCAGAGTACCTTTCGGTGTCATACTGAGCCCGTTCTTGTTAGATGCAACTTTGAAAAAGTATCTCAAAAACGAAGAGACGGAAATGGCAAATGAAATCCCTTCTCATTCTTTATGTGGATAAAGGCCAACACGTCACTGGAAGCAGTACAAAAGTACAAGGAGACTAAGGATTTGTTTACAAGAGCGCAAATGAATATTAGACAGTTTATTAGCAATGACAAAGTATTTATGGGTATTCTGCCGATAGAGGACGTCCAGTCAACAAGAGAAGAAACCAAGATCCTCGGGATCACGTGGATGCCGATCAAGGATATGTTGAGAATGGTAGTATGCAAACTTCAGGATGGCTTGAACACGAAAAGAAAAATTTTGCTATATAGCGCATCAAATTGTAGTCCTCTCGGATTGATATCTCCAATTTTGGTCTTGTTCAAATATTTTCTACAAGATTTGTGGAAGCAGCGTGCATAGGACCAAGAATTGTCCGAAAACGATCAACTGAAATGAAACAGAATAATTGGAGTCAAAAATACTTCGATATAAGGCGATAAGTGCTGCATGAAAAGGGGAAACCACAAATACACACCTTTGTTGATGCATCAACAATACCTTATACTGCAGTGGTTTATTGGAGGGTATCAGATTGCCAGAATGTCCAAATGCATTTGATCTTCAGCAAAGTAAGACTGTGCCCACTAAAAGGAGCATCAGTACCACGACTCGAACTGTTTGCGGCTTTAACCAGGGTTTAAGTCCAAAATTTTGTAAAAAAGGAATTAAATTTGAGTGACGCTGTTTCTTATATGTGAAGCGACAGCAAATGCGTGCTGCAATGGATAAATTCTGGAAAGAGGACCCTTCGAAGTCCAGAATCAGCATTAAATTCACTTATATAGCGACACAGGTCACACTCTGGTGCAGATACGTCAACGTTTTTGGATACCACAGGCTCGAGCGTGTGTGAAACGAGTAATCAAGGAATGTAAAGGATGTAACAGGTGGGAAACGAAACCATTTCAATTATCACAATTTTCAGAGCGCCTGAGAGAAAGGATTAATCCTTGTTGAGCGTTTCAATACGTCGGCCTTGATTACTTCGGTCCGCTCACAGTGAAAGCGAATTCCAGTTGACCAAATTTGAATCTGCCTCTTTACATGCTCCACAGCACGAGCTGTGCACTTGGAAATAGCGCATCATTTGTCTTCAGTTTCATTAATCAATTGCTTAAGAAGATTTGTGGGAAGAATAATCTGCCTTGATTCGATAATCTGTGACAATGTCGCTCAGTTCAAATTGGCGGCAAAAACGGTGGATAGTGATGTTGATGAATTGGGCAACCAACTGACAGAATATTGCAGTTTTCTTGACATCTAATGGAAATTTATGACTGAGTATGAGCCACGGCAAGCGGATTGAATGGGAGATTGGTGAGAGTGAGAATCACCAAAAATGCCTAAAGGCGAGCAGTGGGACAGCAGCTTTTGTCAGAAGAACAGTTACAAACAATTCGTTGAAATAGAAGGAATCGTAAATTCGAGACCACTTACATACGTCGACTAGGAAAGTTGCGAAGTAATACGGCCAATAGATTTTCTATTTCCAAATGCAGTGTTGTTCATACCAATAGAAGAAAATCGGTCATGGAGGTACGATCAAGGCAACAGATCATGTGGAAATCTCATTCAGCAATGGAGAAAGACGCTTGAAAGTTTAAATCGTTTTTGGAAATTTTGGCGGACAAGCTATCTCAGTATGATACGAGAGCAAGCGCCTCGAAATCAACATGGATCAAAAAGTATGGTGAACAGGCTGTCGCGAGCAGAATTAGTACTGGTTGCAGAGGACAGTACACGACGTGGCAGATGGAAGATAGGAAAAAATTATCGAGGTGACGAAGGCAAAAGATGAACAGTTCGTACTGCTGTCGTCCAACTCGCAGCTGGAAACGTGTAACGAGGCCAGTCAATTTACTTCTACCACTTGAACTCACAAAAGAAGTTAAAAAATCAGGCTGGAACACGCCAGGCGAGCCGGTGCGATTGTGCGTTTTTGCACTTTCCATGCCGTGGCAAAATCGCAAGGAATCAAAGTAACTAACCCTGTGAAATACTGGCCCTCGATGTTGGGGAGGTTAATTGTGTAACTATGTGGTATGTCAGTTGTAGGTGTCGACTTCAGTGACCCGACAAATGGAACGTTGCCGGTCCCCAAAAAAGGCCACACAAAAAGAGTTAAGCTTAAAATCTTTTTGTTGAACACATGAGCAGGAAACATTCCCTTAAAATTAAAGCCTTCAGCTTTTCCCGCTCCTGAGTTAGCAGT